GCGCACGACATTGTCAATCTGATAAGGCCCTTGAGTTAATTTATTTCAGCGCTATTTTTTTTTCACTAGCACGCGTTAACAGTTCTATTTTCTGCTACCTCAATATAAGTGACTTTGTAACTATAATTAACAATTAGTTCATGCGTCAGCGTGCGTATTCGAGATATTGAGCACACGGGAAGTTTGGAGAGCACGAAAAAGGTGTAAGAGTAGCTAGAGGCGCCGAAGCGCAGCCGAGAGCAACTCTAGCCTTTTCAGTGCTCTCCAAACTTCCCAAGTGCATATTGCGAAAGCAATTTGCTAGCAATTTTTGCTAACAAGATCGATCCTGGACATAAGTGCGAGGCGCAGCCGAGAGCAACTCCAGCCTTTTTAGTGTTCTCCAAACTTCCCAAGTGCTCAATATCTCGACATACGCACTGCTAAAGCATGAAGTAATTGTTTTATAACATCATGAAAGCGATCAATGCAGCAGCTAACTTAAAATTTTATGGTGCGCGCTTAAAGCAGTAGGCGTCAATGTTTACGTACCTATATTTTTTTCTTCACAGTTAAGCTTAAGTTTTTATCCCGAGACTGAGAGAAAGTGTACTCTAAAATGATTGTAAAATCCATATTTAGGTGCCGGAAAACTATTAATTCACCGAAAAATTGTTATTGAGAGAAAACAACTTTGCAAAGAATGATCTCACGCCATAGCCCGCACAGCTCGCAGAGATGACAACAACAACTGAACAACACTCACCTGTTTTCCTTACTATCGGTGAACAAATTCAAACGTTTCCTCTTAAATTTCCTTATGAAACACATGGTAAACGTTTCATTGTGTACTGCCGAGTTATGGATGCACTCAGGAGACTCACGATTGCTAAGCTCACAACAACTCGAGGAATTACGAATAGTTTATTGACGTCATCAGCGTGCTCAATAGGAATATGAAGCACTCATAAAGCACTCTCGCGCTATTGAAATTGATTAGGCGAATTTTCTAGCTATGGTAACTGTGTTACACCTCTTTGTTTTTCGTTCAGTAGTTTGTGGGCTGAGCAGTCCTAGTTTTGAACGGATACTAATGACGGTCACTTACGAAAAGGAAATTGAGTGTAAAGCGACAACGCTTTGTTTGAAACAAACATCCTTGTAAAAAAATGTACATTTGAGATATACGGCCTCTAAGGCTGGAATTGAAAGATAGCAAGCTAGTATAATAAATTATGTGGGATTCCACCATCTAGTTCGAATGCATGCTAAGTCCAAGTATCCTGGTTATTTCAGTATGAATGAGCGTCAACAAGCCTATGTGGTTTTTGAAATATGTTACTGGTGGAATTAAATAACATCATCCGATAATACTGGAGCTATTATCCACCATTATCGTGTTATTGGATAACACTTTCTTCATTGGCTGTAACAGACTTGTTAGTGAATAATATTAATGGTTCAGGTAGCCTAAAATAAGCTGGATACTGATTGACTCTAACACTCGATAACAAGCAATAACTTCTAACACCAATTAGTCCCAATTATATTGAACAAGTCCCAATTATAGTGAACATGTGTTAATTTTGTAGTTTGCTAACTCCGCCTCAAGGCTTGGGGGAGTGCATTCTAATAGTCGAATTTCGAAACGAGCGTAGCTAGCTATGGGAAAGGGAAGTAATAGTTACAAGATCATAGTTCCATGATGTATATGACGCCAGCTGTAAATACAGGAGAAAATTATACAGGGCTGTCAGCAACCCAAACTGACGACGTTGAAAATTCAACAATACGATGACATTATTGCAGTAGCAGCGAAAAATGGTCAGGTGCAACCAGCTAGTAACGGGGATAGTTACAAAGGAAGCACAGTGGGGCAGCTCGCAACAGCTCTGAGAGCCGAAAGCTTGAGAGCCCGGCGAATGAGGCTCTTCGTGTTGACGGTCATTATCGTAACGTTCGTGATCGCTGTTGCCGCTTTGGTTTTGGTCATAATGAAGATGGCGGATGGAGAAGGTTCAGCCGCTCCGAAGCAGGAAACAAAAGCACCAGGTAAGCGGAATAACAAGCTGTTTTCTCATGGTTCTACTTGCATGATTCTCGATATTTTTCATCACGGAATTTGGTTTTTGTAGAGAATTTTGATTAAGGCTACTTATTTCTGAGAGAGGTAATTATGCGATCGATTTGGTACGTCGCGTCATTACTATATTACGGCTGTTTAAAAGCGCGTAACATGTGGACCGAGCACATCTCTCCTGATGAAAATGGTTGTAGGTTTTGTTTTTAAACAACAAACCCCCGACTTTTTTGCTTCAACGAAAAAAAACGCCTCACCGCAAGTTATAGAATTCGTCTGGTAGTTGTAGCATACAGTATTTGGACTGCGCTATTACAAAAAAAAACTACAGTGTAGCTACCATGCAAATCGGGTATTAGAATTTTAATCCTTCTCTAACAACGCAAAGAACAATAACAAGTGTTGACTTCTTTACCCACAAAAATTATAACCATGCAGCGACATTTAACGGTTGGAGTAACCCAACTAGGCTCAACTTAACCTGGGATCAGGCTCAATTTTCGTTCCGGCGGGCAAGGCGAAACCAAAAGAGACCCTGATACAAACCTTCTACGAAGCGCCTGCCGCCCTCTTTTTGGATTGATTGACATTTGCTGAATCAGCCAACCAACTTTACTTCCGTTGCTTGTATTTTTAGTATGCAAATTTTTCATACCAGGGAAAACTGCAGACTCGCTGACTTAAAAAATAGCTTTTACCTTTTAATTTTTTAAACTGAAAATAAAACAGTCAGCACAATCACATTTAACTTCTTACGAGATTAAAAGAGATCTCGAACGTTATTTCTGTTGGCGTAGAAAGTAAAAAGTATTCGAAAAGACGGCGACATGGTGTTCTAGTTTTAATATTTTGGCTAAGCGCGCTCAAATTTAAAATACTGAAATTTCTATTTTTCTGTTGCCTTTATATTTTCCTTGGCAATTTTGCCCGATTTTCAGTACATAAATCTTTAAAAATCTTGGCGAAATAAATCGCGACCTTTGTCAAAGGATATATAAATTATCTCAGAACAAACAAAACGAGCATTTAATTTAGCTGATTGAACAGTCCTGTGAGTACACTATGTCTTGCAATTTGAGAATTTACTAGAGGAACAAACGTATAAATAAATATATTTTTTAAGTTAGAAGAAAAACGAAATCAGTGCTCTCTACCGAGAACAAATTGAGATTTACTGTGTCTTTGAACAGAGACTAAGGAGGAAGAAAATCAATTTGGTTAACTCGGGATGGGCGGGGGGGGAGGAGGTACATCGCAGTTGAATTGACGGGATGATCAAAAAATCCCTATGTGTGATGTATTCGTCACAGTTTGTGTTTTTCGAGTGTTTAACATGCGAAATACGTCGAATAATTCAGTGTTTGACCATGAGTAGAGGAACAAGAAATAAACTGCTTCGTCTTATTTATTTCTGTGCTTCGCTCTACTGGATTTAAACGGGCTAACGTCACACTATTTCAAAAAAATTCAGGAAATATCTGAATTTCATTAAAATTTTGAAAGCCGGTTCCAAAAAATAAGAGAAATTCGGAAAGACAAAAATGAGCAGGAATCGGCGAAACTAAAGATGATCAAACCGAACGATTGCACTCAAGTTATCTCTAAACTTATGAAACTGTGTTTTCTGATGCATTATTTTGTCAATGAAAAGCAATTTTTTAGAAAATTGTTAAAAAAGGTTTCACTGCCTTTTGAAATTTTTACTTTACCAGCCCTCACGGAGTTCAAACAGTTCATCGTCATCTCCTCAAATTACGTCAAAACAATAAAAAAAGTCACATGAACAATAAGATGTTATGTTAGCCTTAACAGATGCATGCGTTGTTTTTGTTGAAAAGAGGCGTTGACACTGTGACGAACATGTGGATTTAGCTAGGGCTAAAAGCGTGGCTCCCATTAATAAATTTAAAATTTAAATCAAACACGTTCGTGTGACTTTTGAGGGAAAAGCTAAATGATTTTTAAGTAAAATAATGTACAAATAGTCCAATAGTGAAACAAATCTGACATCGAGTTAATAGCCTTATATTTACACCTAAACGATAGCAAACATCTTCGATGAGTCAAGAGCCATAATGGCAAATGCCATTTACACATTGTATTAAAATTAAAAGGTTTCATTCCTTTGTCTAGGAGGGAGGCCAAAATAAAAAATCAAGCCCAATTTTTTTTCGACAAGTTTACTTTATTACAAAATCTTGCCAACAAATCTGGTGACGTCTAAGCTAGCAATGCATCTATACTTTTTATACATCATATCCGAGGTAAACAGTATGCTATGAGGCGGTGTTTTTTTACGGTAAGCTTACATATACCTCGGACAGAATGCGGTTTTTCACAATTTTACAGGACAAATTGTTAGTTCCCAATAATCGTAGAACTCGCAATTCACAAAAACTGAACATATTTTTTTTTAAACAGCAAGTGGACAAAGATCTTTTTATTACAGAACTGTAGGTGTATGGAATTCCCTTGACCAGTCTCTTACACTTTCTAGGAATGTAACACTTTTTAAACAGTCGCTTACATCTAAGTTATTGCAGGAACAATAAGAGATCTAATTTCCTCGGCTTTGAACATTTCTAAATATTGTAGATTTCCACTATAAGTAATATATGTTAATATTGTTCATATTCTTTTATTATTAATATTCCTTTTTCGAGCTGTTTTTCAGACACTCTTACCACAAGATTAAAAAAGAAAAAAATACTTAACATGCTGATTATGTGACTCGAAACTAAAATGAAAGTTTGACATCCGTGATTAGTTACTGGGTCAGTGAACCGTACAAGAGGAAGAGTTTTGAACACTTTGACGTCATTTGTTTAGTCGATAAGAGTATAGACCAATGAAAATTGTTGTCGATTTGCCATGTTCTTATTCAGAGACCCCGTTTATTGATGAATCATTTAAAGTCAGATAAGTGATTAATGGTTATTTTCGAAACTATTCAGTTACATTCAGAGCTGTCTTCACAAACCTCGGCGCGAGCGGAAGACTGCCCCCAACTTCCCTTGGTAGTTACTACAGTGGTCAGGATCATGACGGTCAAGTTACATTGGTCAGCGGTATTCAACGCTGGACCGTGCAGTACACAGGCGACTACAGAATAGAGGCAGTAGGAGCTGCAGGGGGGTACGACACGGGAAGTAACGCAGGCATATTTCGTGGAAGAGGTGCTAGAATGGAGGGGACTTTTAACTTATCTCAAGGCGAAACAATTCAAATACTCGTGGGTCAAGAGGGTGGAATTAACAATGTAACTACTTCTGCTGGAGGCGGTGGAGGTACGTTTGTGGTCATGATTGGAAACAAAACGCCATTGATAGTGGCTGGTGGAGGAGGAGGCGTGAATTATTCCAACACAAGATATACTGGATGTGATGCAACGACGGCGACAATAGGTAGAACTGGGCACCTGTCATTGGCGGGAGGCGGTGGTGGTCTGGGATCAGAGACCGGCCAGAGTACAAATTTAGGTGAGAAAATTTAACTGTATAAGAGTGGATCCTTCTTTTAAAAGCAGCAATCTTATGACCATCCGTTCGGATTCAGTCAGATAATCCACTAAACTACCCTGGCTCCAGAGGTCCGTTCTCAAAATACCTAATATTAAATAAACCGTGCTTACGGTCTGATAAGGCTCCCGAGACGGACCTCTGGTTACACAAGCACGCAACCTCATTTCCATGCGAGAAATCAGTTCAGAATCTGAACTGGGTCGCCGATTGTTTACTCCCACGTCCGCAGGGGACATTAATGCTGTAACAGTGACCTTGATTAGCTGCATCGAAGAACTTCACCGCAAGAGATAAAAAAAACCGGTTGCGATCAGATGTTCATAACAAACAATATAATCCCGGGTTATAATTCGGAGATCTCGACTTTTATGTTTCCCTTTGGATGTGTGGCTAAGCAGTCTCTGGCTAAACTTCGAAATAATTTAAGCGAACATCCGACAACTGGATCAACGTTGCTCGAGGAAGAAGCTTTGTTTGAATTTTTCCTACCAAAGGACGTACTTTGAATGAATGTGATGATTTCCTGCTATAGTTTGTCTAGGGCTCAGTTCTGCAGTGTTGTTTGCGCTGGATGTCCAAGATGTTGAATTCTCACGGATAGTACCCTGGGTGCAAAAGGTTTATTCTTTTTTCCCTAATTCCTGATAGTTCGCGGCGCGGGTCTATTTGCTAAAAAATGCAGCAGAATGATGTTTTATTTGGTATAGCCGTTTTGTCTGGCAATATTTAGTTGACCTGGTAAAGTAATACAAGTGTCGCGGACCTCCTTTTATTCTGTTGACTTCCAAAAACATACAGAGCTCGAGTGTGTACTTCTCAGACTTCTCAGCTGACTTCTGCCTTTTTTATATACTTGGCACTTGAAGTGTATTTTTTGGAAAAGAATTTGTGACAACTTTTAATACACCGTAGCAAAGTGAGCTTTCGCGCAATCCTATTGTCCTGCATCGCAGACGCAGAGTCACGTAGGATCAAATCTCAGCTGTCAGCGTCAATGAAAACAAACATGCACATCAGCTCCAAACCGGTTTGGTGAGATATTTGATCCTAACACTGCATGGAAGTGAGACTAGTAGCTCCCGTGGCCAGAGGTTATTTTTTTCTCTCGGCGCTTCGCGCCTCGTTAAATCGGCTACGCCGCGAACCATCAGTATCGATAACACAAAAATATTCTCTGGAACCCAGGATACCACTAAACAACCTTTTCTTGAATAACTGACACTTTGAAGTTATTAATAGAGAGATTAAGCATCGCGTTTTCGGAAAAAGGCAAAGATACATTTGTACCACGTGACCAAGTTTTCCCGTTAATTGTCGTTTACCGGTTCATTATAACTACACGAAAATCGGTAGATTCACGCCAATTCTATTCATAACAACTGCTTTAATCTGTTGACCGCTCATTTCTCATTTTGTAAAATTTCTCAACTTGAATCTCCCGTTTGCTGCTTTTGGTACAGTAAATCACATCTCATGCCCACTCTCTAAACTCTCTTCTATATTTTTAGATGGTGTGAAAGTTATTTAACTCCATTTCCTTGAGTAAACCATTCAGCTCGCCGAATTTTCTTCAACTGAAATTTTTGATTACTTGATATTTACATTTGGGAAAAATTTCACCCTCTTTATCTAGGTATTGTAGTGAAAAATATTGCCATTCAATCATTAGCCCGCGAAACAGCCGTCATACTCGCTCTTGCGTCCCCAGCGGCAAGAAGTTCAACACCCTTTTTTAATCTTTTTCCGGTAAAGGAAACTTACCGTACGGTGGATAGCGCTCTCCGTCTTTTAAACTACTGAGAATCGGAAAGAAAAGGGAATTTGTAAAGCTTCTTTATTTCTTTACTTTAGGCGGTGGCGGCGGTGGGTTCTACACCAGTGGACGAAGTTCAACGCAGTTTGGAGGTTCGAATGGGACTGGTGGAGAAGGAGGTAGAGGGTTTATTCAGGGAGGAATTGGTGGAAGATCTTGGTTAAAAAATGTTGTTGGGGGATTTGGAGGAGGTGGTGGTGCTTATGGAAGCGGAGGAGGTGGTGGTGGTGGTGGAGGCTACTCTGGGGGTGGTAGCGGGAAAGGTTTACCGGAAGCCTGTGGAGGAGGGGGAGGATCCTACAACGCTGGAAAGAATCAGCAAAATGAATGTTGTTACAATGCAGCTGGACATGGTCAGGTGACCATAACACTAATTTAACTCAACAAGTACAGTGTGTCTTAAGTTTAGTCCCTAAACAATCGTAGTATACCGGTATGAGTGTAGCTACAGGTTGCTACATTTAATGAATGTGTTCTCACCAAATGATGACTTTCAAACGACATCCCTACAAAAGACTCTACAAAATGAATTTGCACACCCTATTAAAAAATCAAGTCAAGACCTCCCAAACAATACCCTGTTTAGTGGCACATGTCCGTTTCCGCTAAATAACACTTTAAGCCCCAAGATCCACATACAAATTCTCCAGACTGATCTCCATACATTTCTTTTAAGAATACTTGAGAGAATTTGGTCTACGATCAAAGTGTTCTTCCTTTGGTAATCAATTTAGTAAATCTCATAAGCTTCACTCTTGATGATCTGCTGATTTTGTTAGGAGAAAATTGATGTTGGTCACCCTTGGGACCAAAAGGGATAAGGAAGTGGAACTGATACCAAAACAATGTGTTTGAACAACTAGATGGCCCGTTTGTGATAAAGCTGTTTAAAACGCGACGTGGCGCTGGACTTAAAAACTATTACCTAGTAAAAAAGCCGCAATTTAACGAAGACATTGCATCGAACGTTATAAAACAACTAAGCCGATACTACGCGCGCGCTGATTGGCTGAGGGGTAAGCATGGGAGTATGTAAGCACGATCATTTTGTGTTCAGAAGTCGTTACGTCACGTTGCCATGGTAGCAAAATGACTGGATCTCAACAAAGCATGGTCCTTCAAATATTGCAAAAAAAGACGAAAAAATTGAACATGTATGATTTTCCTGTGCATGATTATACTCAGGACCAAAACTGTAGCCCATACTTTTTTTCTATGTTTCAACAATGCAAATGGCCGTCTCTATCAAGAGAGATTCTTGAGATCAACAAATTTCGTTACCATGGTAACCTTAGTCGCACTTCTCTTCTTTATATCGGTATCCAATTGGTTGAATATCTATCACCTAAGATGTCTTGTAATGACTGGATGTAGTTAGTGGTATAGGCGTTGAAAGAAGGGGAGGTAAGAATGGAGGGGTATAGACTATACACCATTCCACATTTTTTTGCCGAGTTTTGTTAAAGAACAGTTAGCGAATATCAATTAACACTGCTGGAAAGAGCGCCTTAAAATTAGCAAACTTGCCAAGTTTACAGGTTATACGTCAAAGGCGTGATTATGCTGCAAAAAGTCCCAAAATCTTAAGGAAATTTGTATGTTGTATGCTGGGGGCACGAACTTCCTCCCCACCAAACAAACGTCTGTAAAATTCGGCGACCTTGCGGAGCTATATCTTTGTTAGCTTTCAATAAATCACGTTCTAATTTGTCATCTTTACTACTGTTGAGTTAGGGCCTGTTTACATGGAGGTGGGGGACCCCTGAGGTAGGTGAGGTAACCCGCTTTGGTGGGTAACCCGCCTGTCCAC